TTTCTAAATTCACTTTACCAAATGACTTGATTATTGTTCAAACACAAGGAATTGATTGATACTTAAAAGTAAAAATGTTAATTTGCCAATGTTCTGTTTTAATAAATCAAGAATATAATTAGGGAGTATTAGCTGGAAATGGCATTGGTTCTACATACTATTCCGTTTATTTTGGGGTGATAATAAATACTAGTATGAGAAAATGATTTTCGTCACATTTTGTTCGTTCATTATAAGTGAACTCTTCTTTTTATTAAAAAAATACAAAAAACAAGAAAAGGGGGTCAATGTGGAGAGTTCAGTCCTGTCTACGACTTGTCACACAATCTTTAGTAAAGTTACATTACATTATATAATAGGGAGAAATTATGCCCCCACGCTTTTCACACGTTTATCTCTTTTTTTATTATAATGTTTATTTTTACTCTCATGTAGAATTAATGCGTGTCTGCGAATATTATTATTATTATAATTTTGTGGCTTATACTAAGTTGTGTGACCACCTAGACCTAGTATGGATAACATTTTAATTCATTGTGAAATAAAAAGAAGTATCACAATCGTGTAAGCATTTATTCGGAAGTGAATGTCAACCAACTTGATTGGAAACTCTGTTTTTCTCTGATCCAATTATAAAGATTGTTAGCTAACCTAGAAGGATGATAAGATTATGATCCGTCTGGGAATAAAATTAATTAATCTCTTTTACCAAACCCAAATCATGCTTTGGCATAAATACCAAATTGAATTAGTCCTACAATCGCCCTATGTATGTGTTAGATTCTCTTAGTAATAGAAGCATGAACAACTCAAATGAAAATCCAAAATCCTTTTTTTCCCACCCTACCTTCGGAGGATTAATAATATTTTTACTTATGGGTTTCTCTCAGATATAAGAAGCTCCAAGTCTAATATATTCCATTTGGGTTGTAAGTCATGATGAGACTTCAACATACACACACAAACTACCACTAACTAATATAGGCAATAGCAGAATTGTCTAACAACACCTTCCATACTTTCTTCCATTAGCTTAATATGCATGGTAAAACACATCGAAAACTAAAAGAAAGTATAGCAAAAAATGAATCTACTTATAAAAAGTTACTTCACCAAAATCTCTCGTTCAAGGTCACGTGTTCAATCAGTCACTAATGTATATATGCGTCAGATAGAATCAATATTTCACCATAATATATCATTCAAGGTCACATGTTTAATCGGTGTCACTAATGTATGCGTCAAATAGAATCAATATTTCACCATAATATATCATTCAAGGTCACATGTTTAATCGGTCACTAATATATGTATGCGTCAGATAGAATCAATATTTCACCATAATATATCATTCAAGGTCACATGTTTAATCAGTCACTAATGTATGCGTCAAATAGAATCAATATTTCACCATAATATATCATTCAAGGTCACACATTTAATCAGTCACCAATGTATGCGTCAAGTGAAATCAATTAACTAATACGCGCATTACAATAAGTTGTCTACATTACACACCCTAAACCTTTTCTCAAAGGGTACGAAAACACGAAATGCTTCATGTATACATAATATAACGTATGAAATCCGTTACTAACATTATTTTATCCCTTTTGTCTGGTGATAACATGTGAATAATACAATTTAAAGACCAAAAAAAAGAGATCAAAAGTATAACTAGTACTCTTTTATTCATCACTTAGGACAGCTAAATACAGAGGAAAGGATCCCAACAGCAAGAGTCTAGGAGGCAACAACAACATAAAGTTGCCAAGCTGCAAACAAAAGTCATTAATCATATAAACATAGTAAACTAGTACTTACTATTTTGAACATAGAAAATAATAAATAAATCGTGTCACATAAATTAAAACGAAAATGAATGAAGTAATATATAATAACAATAATAATATTACCAAGCCTCGAGAAAACCTGATTGTCTCTAGGGGGAGCAGCAGTATAGGTATATATAGGGGGTGCCATCACTGGAGGTCCCTCGTAATAACCTGTTGCATTAATTCAAACATTACACTATACTTTTTCAAAAATCTTTGTTAGCTAATTTCATTTAATTTACCTGGAGCTCTTTGCTTTCGTACTTCACTCATATTGTTTTGAGTTTTAATTTGGGGGAAAATGGGAGTATTTATATTGTTTGAATATGTTGTGTCCAGGTGACACCTGGGTCGGTTATCCATTATATATACGCGGCACAACCATATTATATATAAATCATGAGTCCGGAGCCTAAAGGGCAAAAAAAATTGTCAAAAATTCCAAAAGGGCACATCACTTTTTATTCTAGCCAAAAGGCCAAAATCGCTGCGTCAGCAGCGATTTTCCTCTGACAAAATGACTAAATAGCAGCGATTTCGTCTAAAAAAATTTTTTTATTTTTTTTAATTAAAAATCGCTGCCATTGTAAAAAAAAAATAAAAAAATTGCTGTGGCAGCGATTTTAAGTCAGAATTTTTTTTTTCCTTACACATCGCTGGAGGGGCAGCGTTTTTCATGCCGAGTACTATTATTTTCATGCCTATTATTACTTATTAATAATATAAAAATGATAAACAAGACGACAGTATACTCAATAAAATTGTTGAAGCATGAGGAAAATTGAATTATATATCATAAATAATAATAAAAGAATATTAAATTTAAAAAAAAAAACTTTTTTTTTAAATTCTTAACCAAATTCGCTGCTATAGCAGCGATTTTGAAGAAAAAAAGTTATTTTTTTTTGAGAAAATATGCAGCGATTTTTATTTTTGTTTTGTCAGAAGCCCTTTTGGTTAATTTTTTTTTTGATGTGCCGTTTTAGTTTTTTTAAAGAAAAAGCAGCGATCTTTAATTAAAAAAAATTACAAAATGCGATTTTTAATTAAATTTTTTTATTTTTTTACAAAATCGCTGCTGTGGCAGCGATTTTTAATTTAAAAAAATAAAAATAAAAATTTAGACGAAATCGCTGCTATTTCGTCTTTTTGTCAGAGGAAAATCGCTGCTGGCGCAGCGATTTTGCCCTTTTGGCTAGAATAAAAAGTGATGTGCCCTTTTGGAATTTTTGACAATTTTTTTTGCCCTTTAGGCTCCGAACTCTATAAATCATATATACAACAACGTCACCACCTATCACTACTATGGATAAATATAAGGACAAATTACTTAACTACACTCATTTACTTACCTTAATATCCACTTATCCCTATTTATTTCAAAAATTCCTTATTTACCTATGTATCCCGTGCACAACGCTATGTATCCCGCTATGTATCCCGTGCATGACACTATGTATCCCGCATGTATCTCGTGCACAATCTATGTATCCCGCTATGTGGAATGTATCAAACCTAATGTATCCCGTGCACAACGCTATGTGCAATGTATCAAACCTAATGTATCCCGTGCACAACGCTATGTGAAATGTATCAAACCTAATGTATCCCGTGCACAACGCTATGTATCCCGCAAACATCATTTTTAAGGGATTTTTGGTAAATAGAAAACTAGAAGGGATAGGATGTTATTTAGTTAAATATAATATATCTCTTTTATCCTTAGACCTTAATTAGCTTTAAGTTCGAATTCTAGGATGAAAAAATTACTGAATAAATACAAAATATCGCAATAAATAATTTGGTGTTAACATTGAAATTGAATTTCTTTTCTTTTTGTCACGCCAAAAAAGAAAAGTTTCTACGATATTATTTAAAACCATATATATGCATACGAAATTAGATTTGAATGTTTTTTTTTTTATCATATATATGGATTACTTGGTCAATTACATGATTTATTTAACATCTCGTCATTTTTCTTGTTAACACAGGAAATCTAATTGGTTATTTTAAATTGTGTTTTTAAAATAGCGATTGGTGCACGTATGCAAATTCAAAATTGAGTCTATAAAATATAGCCTTTGTAATTTGAATTAGTTTTTGCGGTTGAATTTCGGAGTGGAATATGAAATTCACCTATAACATGAACTAAGTGAATATACATAGATTATTGCTTTAATATCGCATGTATTTGGAATGTCAACAAAATGGGGAAGGAATTTAAAAGGTACACTACATATTTGACAACCCAAGCAAGATAATAATACGAACTTTTGGAGATCCTTATTATAAAAAAATCATATTATTCCTTGATGGACATTGTTAATGAGAAATTCGATTGGACTGTTTGTAAATGCCTATTAAAATGAAAAGATCGAATAAATGTGTGGCACATGATTAATCCTTTGCTTCCTGCTTAATTTTGTTATGTTAGGCTACAATACATGTTCTCAAAAGTAGATTCATTTTTTCTTTATCTCAAATTATGGAGTTAAATTAATCATATGAAAGATGAAAAAACTTTTCTGTTTTCCACTGCATTAATTATCTTTCCTACTGTCAAAATCGTGGTGAATTATATATATTCTTTCGTCCTTAATAGAAAAAATGGATACGAAATTACCTTTAATAAAGAATATTTTACCTCAAATATACCCGAAAAAAACTTTCATTTTCACATGTTTGCGTTGATTTGGGCCTTTTTATATGCTTAATGGTGATGGATTTACAAACTGGCTGTGCAATAAAAAAGATCTAGGGAACAGAAAAAAGGGGTGGGTGAATGAGGATATGTAAGTTCAATTTTTTGCTTTCTAGTTTACAGTATTACATCCTTCACAATTGTATATCTGGTGGAGTAGTCAAAAAATTTCACTAAAAAACGTTAAAACACGAAGGAAAAAAACACACGAGAGAGGATTCAACATCTATTACATATTCATTTAAAAAAAAAATCAAAATATCAACCTCGTATAAACAAAATATTTTTTGGCTAAAAAGTTAAATGAACCCTCTTGCTCTTGTTTGGCGCCGCCCCTGCATCTATATGTTGTACACTACTATTCAATAAGGAACCATGGTCCATTGGGTGTGGATTATTAATTTCTAATTTCAAAGGTAGAGAACCAGAAATAATGAAACTGCAATTCTCTCAAATAGTTCAATGATTCAAATTAAAGAAGCTAATTACTACAATATAACTCCCAATAATAGTGATGTTCATAAAGAACTTATTTACATTACAATTCTTATATATTGGTATATGTACTACAAATTAAAGCATAAAGAAGAAGTGAACTTAATTAATTACAACACACAGATTACAGAGGGATCACAGCAACACTCATCTAGCAGGCAGCAACAACACAGAGCTGCTAGACTGCAACAAATCACAACACAAAATAAAAAAATCAAAATGAGAAAACCACAAAAATCAAAATTGCATTACTCCCTCCATCCAAATTTATTTGACACCTTCCCAATGCGTTCATATATCTTTTAAATATTTTGAATCGTTATTTGTTGTGAGTTATAGTATTAACTTTTTTATGTATTTTTCAAATATACAAATTTTATTTTTGAAAACTTGAAGATTTCATGCCAGAAATCACAGTCCAACTAAAGTTGTTTGACTCCCAAAATTCTAATTGTATCACATAAATTGAGACCGTGTGAAAGTTCTAACCAACAATTATTATAGGTAAGTATTTTTATGTAAATCAAATTGCTTACCATCCTTCAAGAAAACCTCTATTATTCTGAGGTGGAGGAGGAGCAGCATATGTTGGTGGTGCCATCACAGGAGGAGGACCTTGATAATACCCTATTTATAAATATTTCACAAACAAAATTAATCGAAAATATATTGATATGCTTAACGAATTATTTTTCTTACATATTCACGCAAAATTTATTAATACCTTAGACATAGAGAGATTGTTTCAGATAAACAAATCATAATCTAGCATATACAAAATAAAAAAAAAAAAATATTTGGATCATGTGTTATTTTTACCTTGACCTTGAGAGGGATATGGATAACCATATTTTGGTGGTTCATTCATCATGTTTTAAAAAGTAGTAACTCAACAGAGAAAAGAAGAGAAACTTGATATAATGCTATATGAAAACTACAACTTTGGAGTAGATTTATTCTTATGTACTATATATATAAAAAGCTAATCTCACAAAAGCTTTTGATGAGAATATGATTCCTTTCACTTGTATTAATGCTTATTAGGTACTACTTTAATTTGGATGGGGAAAGGAACCAACTAGAAAGAAAAAAAAAAAAAAAAAAGGAAGGAAGGGTCTCGAAGGAGTAAAAGAACAAAGGCACCTGCTTCCTTATCTTTTGTAGCATTGTCAAAAATTGCAGTCGAGTAAATTCAGAATTTTTAGTTTATAAATTTTGAAATATATATATTTTTATTGAATTTTAAAATTTATTTATGCTTATCAAAATGAAAATTTTAATATAAATGTATAATTTAGTTAAAATTATTGAATTTTGTCGAACTAGTAATAAAAGAAAACAACTTGATGTTTATTGTTGTTGCCATCAATGTTCTGTGCTAGGGTAGTTGCAACAAACCCTCACTATTGGGACATTTGTACAACAATTTAAAATCTATATATAACTTCTTTCGAATTTAGATTTAAGTCCCCCACTGCATACATTTAACATAAAATAGAGGTGATTAGACAAAAACATAATAACATAATTTCATATTAATGAGAGGATCGATATGGTTTTAAATAGAAATATGTTAAGGTTGTGTCGTCTGTTTTTTTAAAACTTTAAACTTGTTGGTGTTTGTTATAGTACTAGTTCTATTTTTATAGTTTTTACTTTTGATATCTATCATTTTATATTATTAATTGTGTTTCGATTACCTCATTATTTTGCTGTCGTTATTGTTCTTTTTTTTAGTTGCTCTACACCGGTTTTCTTATGAATTGCTATACGTTATTCTTCTTCTTTTAGATTTGTTGCATTTGAATAGAGAACTTTTTGAAAATAGCTTAATGATATAATTTGCGTATATTCTATTTTCCTTAAATCTCACTTATGAAATTTCACTGAATGTGTAGTTGTATATTAAATGCAAAATGTATTTGAGTATATAAATCTACAGCAATAATCTACTATAATTAAGTATGTTTTCTTACTTTTACTTATAGTAATTTTTATAGTTAAATTATTTGATTTGGTATAAATGAGTATCTTTTTACTCCCTACTACCTAGTTAGGCATTTGGTCTCTAAGCTGACTTTTCACTGGCTTATCGCATCAGATTTTTGGAACAATTTTTGGTCAACACTGAATTTATTGCAAAATTTATTTATGCTTTTTTAAGTTTTAACATGCTGGATGGTCCAAAATTAAAATCTAATTTTCACTTTTGAAAATTCATTGATTTTTCAAAACTTCATTTTTTAAGATTGAGACGTGTTTGGAACATGGACACTTCTGACTGGATTAAATTTAATTGATGTTAATTTTATGTAAAATTATTAAAATAATACACATATCTGTTATATCTTATTTATTATAATAGAAAATGAATAAATCAAAGAAACAACATTTTATTACTTGTATATATTGTGAAAATTGGATACTGTCAAAATTTGTTTCCGAATTTTATTTTTTGCAAAAAAAGTTCGGTTAATAACTCTGAAATTGTGAAATCGATGAATATATGATATATGTATAATTTATATTTATATATAAATTATAATATATGTGTAATTCAGTAATTGTATATAGTTAGTATATTTTTTTGGAAGTATAAGCTGTAAAGTGAAACTATTATTCCCGTGATTTTTTAATTATTTTTTTTTCTGTTATTCTCTTTGTTCCCTACTTCCTATTGATGAGTCATTTTCACACCATTGTTCATGGGCCAAAATATACCCATAAGACAAATCGGTTCTGACCCGAGGAATAATAATTTGGTAAGGCACTCAATCTTCTTATAGTATATATATATATTCCTAATGATTTTGGTTAAAGAAATTTAAAGAAATATCATTATTGAATGTTGTTAAGGTTGAAAAAGAATTATTTTATTAAAGAAGACAAAGTGGTTGTGTTTATTGTTGAAGGTTTTGATATTAAGAGAAAATTTTAGCAAAAGATAATTACTACTATATATAAGAGGCTAGGAAAGCCGCGGTTCATCAACATGTCTGCTTGCACTTTCTTATTTATTGGACATAAAAGCCCACCCATATTTCCCTGCCGAAAATGTGGGCCCCATGTTTCTGCCTATTCCACATTTTTTCCAATTAAATTTTTAAAAAAGATTTAATTGACTCTAAAAATTTTATTATTGTCAAATGAATTTGAGTAGGTGTAATAATATCTACTATAAAAAATTTTATGTAAAGGATACTACAAATCACAATAATTAACAAATGAAAATATTTTAAATCATATAAGAAATTTGGTTGACTAATTAGAATAGAAGAAGTAACCTATATTATTTGAAAATGACGTTAAAAGTTCTAGAATTCACAAATTAACAACTTAAAATATTTATGATTATTCACGTGAATTGGAATAGAAGTAACATATATTATTCAAAAATTACGCAAAAAGTACTATAAATCACAACAAATTAATAAGTTCAAATATTTTATAAAAAACATATAAAATATTGGTTGATTTTTCGAACTTTATTTGTATCACATATGAGATAAAAAGGGAATAACATATATTGGGTCTGTGATTGAGCTTAAAAAAATGTAATATATATTAGGCACATGCTGGCACAGACACCAAATATCTAGTATACATAATAAGGCTCTATAAATAATTCGGTACTTGCGCTCTATAGTTATAGTTTTGTTTGTTATAGAGGTTGCCCGTTTGTATATTTAGCTTGCCCGTTTGTATATTTCGCTTGCAAATACACAAATAAGGTAAGTATATACAAATGAAGGTTGCGGTTTGTATATTTCGTTTGCGAATATACAAACAGGATAAGATTATACCAATTTTATATTTATACATTTAAAAAAAAAAAAAAAAAAACTCTGTTTGTTTTACTTTTCAGGTTCATTTAGGAAAGTATTGTATATTAAATTTTATAATCATTTAAAAATAGATTTGGATCAAATTTATACACGATATAACAATTCCATCCATCAATCCTTGTGACAATCTATCAGGACTTGTAGTAAAGAAAAGTTTGCTCATTCATTAAGATTTTATGGTCAAAACTTAAATAGTGGCACAGGAATTCAGCCTATTTTATGTAAATGGATCACCTTATTCCCGTGCTGATGGGCCCAAATGAAGTTGCCAATTGTATATAACACTTGTCTATCTGTGTCAATTCCTCAGTGGACTTATATATGGAAAATAATTCAGTTCTTAAACTGGTTCAGTATTGGTGTTTCTTTTTTTCTTTCAAAAGTCCGGTTCATCGATTAAGGGTCTCAAAACTTTGGTGCACCAAAGAACCGAACTTTTATAATATATATATACACACATCATTACGTAACATGATTTAATTTTTTTAAAGGTCTTATACTTTTATTTTATCTTCATTTTATATTTTATTCACACCGAAAAACTATTTTAAAAATACTGAATCAAACCAAATAAAAATAGAAAAAATAGAACTGAATTGAATTAGTTGATCCAATATTCAATGCATACTTTTTCAAATTCGAAAACTAAAAAATCAAACCGAAGGATCTTCGCCCACAAAGACAGACAGACTCATCAAAATTTGACTTTTGCTGAAAAAAGGAATAAAATTTGGATTCGAAATTAGTATGGGGCTGACGCAGCTTCACTTTTAAGGTAAGCCCAATAGTACGAAACCCGCAAGAACAAATTCCTTTCACACATTATCGTTTTACTTTTGCATAATTTTATCACTAAAACAGATAAATGGACAAAAACAATTCTCTTCAATTTTATCACTAACAAGCAACACGTTTACGAAAAAACTTTGGCAAAAGTAGATTTATGTTTTACTTTAAATTAAGCATCACGTTTTCAACCTCGTAAGTCGTAAGTCTAATGTTCTCACTTGACCCAAATAATTATTATTGTTTTTTTTTTTTCCAAGTATTGACATTTACTATCACTTATCAAGAACCTTAACCCCCTTTAATCTAGAATATAGCAATTATCGACTACTTTTAAGCCTTGTTTTAGAAAATTAGCGCTATGAAATATCAAATTTTACTAGTGAAACTCCATGTTAGTGATTATTTTTCATTATAGCGGTTAATTATGGTTTTTTCTTTTATGAATTTTACCTCTAGAAACAAGAATTTCATCCTAATATACTACAGACCTAACACTAATGCTATGCTACTAACCGACAAAATTTGAGATCACATTATAGAGTTTCTCACATTATACACCAAATTTCAACTAGTACTTAATTAGATTATCAATTGGTCAAAAAACTCTAATTAAGCATTGAGTCTCAAATAGATCAACTAAGAGGATAGACTTATATAGTGAGCCCATGATAGATCAACTAATTGGATTTGAATTTTGACATATTAAAATAGATCCTTGAATTAATCCGTTTAAAAGTTATTCAGACTAAATGAGTTAAAAAGGATATAACTTAACTCGTCTAACTTTTTTATGTTTTAATATCTTTGTTTGTTTTTTATAATATTTTAATACCTAATAATTTATTTATTTTTATAATTATATATAACATATCAAATGAAAAAACTGTCCTTTTTGACAATATTTTGACGACATTCTTCATTGATTAATTTGAGTTCCATATCAGTCCAAAGACTGAGCAAATAAATTAACAGATTAATGATCAACTCAAACTCAAAGAAACTGAACGGATCATATCTTTCGATCAGATAATATTGGGGTATTATCAATATTTATTGAAAGATCAACCTCAACATTAATTTTACCAAAATATTTTTTTCAAATAATCATCGTATTCAAACCAGCTTTTGCTTTCAACCGAAACAACTCCTACAATATCAAAAACGAAACTACCATAGTGTTTCTTCTTCTTTTAGGTTTCAATAAATATGACAAGTGTGGGTCAAGTGGATGTACTCTATAGGAGAAAAAAAACACTCATGTGAATGCTACTACTCCTTTTGAATTATTCTCCAAAGG